GGACCCCAGACTCCCGGTCAGCCGCCGCCGTCAGCCGGAGGGCCGCCAACGGGTCCCCCCAAACAGTGCGACCCGGCTGGTCAGGCTCCGCCGGCTCACAGGAGACCCGTGTCAGCCGACAGGGGACCCGCTCGGACCGGCGCCGGAACGGTAAGACCGGGCAGTGACCTGTGTGGTGGTCCAGTAGTTCGGCTGTCCGGTCCGAAATGGTCCGGCAGGCAAAGTGGGGGGCCAAACAGCGACCTGGGGCTCATTCATCGCGATGGGTCTATTTCAGTCTATTGGCTTTTTGCTGTTGTTAGTTTCGAGAGATCCGTCGAACCAATCCAGATTGACAGAACTTACACACTATCGTCTTGTTATGCGTTTTTTTGTGACACATTTAACTAACTATTTTCGCTACTTATTTCTTTTAATAGCATGTCAATTGTCAACTCCGGAACCTCGCGATAATGTTGCCTTGGTGGACACCTGTTCCGTCGCTCTCTGTTGCGCCGCCCTCCCCCTGGTCTGTCGCTGACGGCGGCCCCTCTGCCGTTGTGTGTTGCAGGGCTACTCCATCTGGCAGCCTGCGGCCGAGTGGGTCTCCCCGGTGTCTGTCCCCTCAGCCACGGTGACGTCGGCCCAGCAGCGGGCCAGCGCGCCGGCCGCCATGGATGACGGACCCGTCATCTGTGAGATCGGACAGATGAAGCAGCCGTCGGGCCGCGGCGCGACGCCCGCCCGGCCGGCGGGTCCCGCGGCGGTCAGCGGTTCGCGGTCCGAGCCAGTGACGCCGGCACGGACTCCGGTACAGACAGCAGTACAAGTCGCGGAGAGGAGCACCTCCCCGTCCCCCGCCCCGGTCTCTAGAGAACCGGCCCGGTCCGCCCCGTCGGCACCCTCCCCCGCTCAGGTCCCGACCCCAGCGAGGACACGAGAACAAGTACAATCCCCCGCTCAACCCGCCGCGCCATCCCCCGCCGCAGTCGTCCCCTCGCCGTCCCCAGTTAGTCCCGCTGTGTCTGCAGCGCCTGTCCCAGTCCCCACACAGCCCGAGGAACCCCCTCCAGTCTCCCAGGCCTCGCCCAGTCCACGGCCGGCGTCGCCGCCGCGGTCGGTCGCCCCCGCCGCTCCTCCGCCGACTGTGTCGGCCCCGCGACCCACCCAGTCGCCCCGGAGACCTCCCATCTCCGGCTCTCACTCGTACCTGGCCGTGGCCGCGATGCCGCAGTGCCCGCCGCGACAGCGCCGGCCGCTGCCGCCGCGCTCATTCGCCGGACTGGCCCGCACTATGGTCACCACGAGTACGCTGGTGGTACAGAGCGCTGAGTTTCGCACTCAGGTAGTGCCGGCGGAGAACCAGGTGCAGATTGTTGAGCTGCCGAACCCGCCCCCGGCTCCGGCTGTGGCTCCGGCCCCGGCCCAGACGCAGACTCAGGCTTCAGCTCAGACGCAAACGCCGGCCCAGACTCAGACGCCGCGCCAGACACCGGCGCAGACACCGGTGTCTCGCCCGACGCCGGCTCATGGGACGCCTCAGACAGCGGCGCCGCTGAGGAACGGCCTGAAGACATCACCGGCTAGCTCCGAGGGTAAACAGACGCCGCCTGCCAACCGGCCCGCCACACTTCTCATCCCGACTCGGAGGGACGAGAAGAGGGCACCGACAGCGCCACCAAAACGCAAAGCCGAGGTGAAAGAGGAGCCGGCTGCCAAGAAGGCGAAGCTGGAGCCAGGCATCAAGATGGCTGACGTCAAACCTCAGATGAAACCTGTCTTCAAAACGGTAGCCGCTAAGATGGAGACCAAAAAGGTGAAAACGGAGGTCAAAACGAATGCCGTCACGAAAACGCCAGAGTCGAGTGTAAAGGTGTCGTCCAAGACGAAAACAAAGCCTGCCTCGACAGGCGCCGGCGAGAAGACAGCGCAGCAGCAGAAGGTGACTAACGGGGAGCAGAAGAAGCGCGGCCGGCCGAAGAAGGTGGTAACAGGTGAGCGCCGTTCGACCTCTGACCGCTCGGCCTCCGAGAGCGGCAGCTGCACCTCGGAGAGCAGCGGCAAGTCGTCACGGTCTCGTCGGCCGAGCGGCGCCGCCTCCAACGGCAGCCTCTCGACCAAAGAGGCGCGTCGGAAGGCGTCCGGTAGTGACCGGCTGCTGGTCGACGTGGCCAGTCTGTGTCGGAGGACCCCCACTGACACCGCCAGCGGCCGCAGTAAGCGCACGCCGCCACCTCCGCCGCCACGGCTTACTGATTCCCCAGCGCCGCACGCTGTGCGCGTCAAACCCCGCCGCGTGGTGCCGGGTCTGACGGCGCGGAAATCCATCTCTCCCGACCTGATGCCCAGCGAGGAGCCAGTGGCCGCTCCTCCCCCGCCGCCGGTGCCGCGGAGGGGACGCAAACCGCGACCCTCCGGCGACACCGAGGCCAAGAGGAGGCGGAAGGGAGAGCGGCAGCCGTCTGGAGAGCGGGCGCTGACCATCCCGCGGCCCACCGGCGGACAGCGCTGGAGCCACGCCTGGTCCTTCCAGGGACAGGGACAGATGAAGAAAATTCTGCTCAGGGTGAGAAAGGGGATGGATGGAGGCAGGAGAGGGACTGGTTGGAAAGGGTAGGGAGAGTAGTCAGTAGGTACTAGTGGGTACCTACTACCTACGTGCTTTGTATAGCTCGTTAAAGACGACAATGCATCCTCTGTTTCATAAAACGTCTCGCTTTCAAATAAAGAATTGACGTAATAGTCGTTACTATTTCCTGTTCCCGTTTGTCGTTTGTTTGTGATGTTTCCCAGTTGTCGTGATAGTCATTAGCTTGGAACTCGACGCCATTGTCTCTGCCGGTTAGTCACGATTGTGTCTGACCCCACGTCGTCCATCTGTACCCCAGAACGACAACCAGCTGGTGGAGCGGCTGTGCTTCCCGTCGATGCGCCATCAGGAGGGTGACGAGATCCGCCTCAAAGACTGCGTCCTGCTGGCCTCGGGCTCCAAGGACGAGCCGCCCTTCGTCGGAAAGGTGGCCGCCATCTTCCAGAACCCCGAGGACAGTAAGTAGAGGGAAAGGAGAAAAGGGGAAAGGGAGTGGACCGCTACGAGTTGTTCGACTGTTTGCTAAGTTGAACCTGTGACACTTTCTTGATGGTCAAGCCAAAAATTTCGGTGTTATAAGAACAGGAAGTCCATTCTACTTCTTGAGGGTCACTGGGCCTAGTGAGGGCCGTTAGTGTCACTTTTAGAACCAGGCCCCGGTCTGCTCTGAACCAGTTCATGATCTGACCTTCCCCACCCCTCCCCAGACGAGATGTTGGTGTCGCTCCTCTGGTACTACCGGCCTGACCACGCCGAGGACGGCCCGGAGGAGAGCCGTGCAGAGGGCTCCTCCGACGCCGGGAGCTCGGGCGGTCACGAGTTCAAAGTGCCCTGCGGCCAGCTGCCGAGCGCCGCGCCGGCAGAGGTGTTCGCCTCCAAACACCGTGACACAAACTCAGTGGCGTGCATCGAGGACAAGTGTTTCGTGCTGACGTGGAACGAGTACTGCAGGTGAGGGCATATTTTAGAGGACGGTTGGCGCTTTCGACGGAGCTCAGGGCTGCTGGGGTAAAGGATAAGGAATGAGTGGATTTGGAAACGAAGTCCGGTACAACTCAGCCGAGAATTAGCTTTTCCGGCAGTCAGTTGTATAATCATCGTGATATTCATCTGCTGTCCTAGCACCAATATCTGTCAAATGCTTCAAAGTTCAAACCGTATAGCCCCAACTTTGCGTTTCAATCTGACCTCCCTCTCCCCCTTCCTCAGGTACGTGAAGTTCCTGGCGCAGTGCCAGCAGGGCATCCCGCCGCAGCAGAGCGAGGTTCCCGAGTTCCCCGGCGAGTACCCGCGCGCCAGCATGCTGCCGTCGGCTCGCGTCGCTCCCGACCGCATCTTCTTCTGCCGGCGCGTCTACGACTTCCGAACCAAGCGCATCCTCAAGAACCCCGTGTAGAGGGCGCGCGCGAGCTGGCGGCTCATTTTGTGATAGTGTGCTGGCGCGCTGGCGGCGGCGGCCCGGGCGCGTCAGGGACTAGACGGTCGGCGCCGGCGGAGGACGCTGTTTAACGAGGAACGTGGAGGTGCACCACGGACGACCGCCCTTCCCAAATCGGCCGCACTGTACAAAATATTTTTGTACGAAATTTTGATAGCGACACACACACATATATATTATACATACATAGATAAAGTGCCAGTCCGTCTCATCAATTGGTAGCCGCATCCCTTTCTCAATGGAGTCCGTGAAGAATGTATCCATTATTCAATTATCATGTCCCGAATGGTGTGGGATGATTGTTGTCTGTGAGATGGTTAGAACGTTATTTATGGCGGCGTTTGAGCCGAGCTGAGTCGGGGTTCACCAGCGTCCCGCTGTAGGTGGCGCTGGGGGCCACCTAGTACTGGTCGGAGCGGAATGACACGGGTGCAGGAGAGCGCGGGTCGAGCTGTGTGCGAGCCTGCGCTGCGGAGCTTTACTGGTTCGTTGATCGTGTGACAGCGCCGGGCGGCCGGCCGCGCGGCGTCCCCTGTCCCTCCTGTGATGTGGTGCCCTCACTGTGTGAGTGAGCCGGGACGGTGGAGGTTGAACCCCCTCCGCCACCCGGCAATGCACGGTGGCGGGCGCGGCCGCGCACGGCGGCTCTAGTTCATGTTTTTGCCGACAGGCGGCGCTCATTCCACTGGGCGGCCGGCCGCCGCGCGTGGCGAGATTGTGTGCGTGTGTGTGTGGACTGTGTAGGTCTGTGTCGCCCCTCTGCTTCGCCCCTGTCCTGGTAGATGCTCCTCTTCCACTGCCGTGACCGCGTGTGCACAGCTTTAATCAAATACTTTTACCGAGCGGACGGACGAACCCGACTCCATGTGTCACGAACCGAACGAGCGTCTGTGTGTTCTCGCATAAATTTTATCTCCACCACCTCATAGTTAGGCCTTGCTAGCGTGCCTTGTGTGTGCAATGTACTGGTAAAATACATGATTATACGCGGTATACACCAACAACGTGTATTTGTTGTTCGTTCTGAGATGCACTTATCAGGCGAGATCTAAATGTTATGTAATATGTATGGACGTATGTTATACGTCCATGCGTCCGTATGTTATCAGCACGATCAGTTGCAACGCAGAAGTGAGCGCGCTATCTAAAACATTTCTGGGTTAAAACAGCCCTACGACCACAACAAGTACTGATTCCGTCTTGACTTTTGATCGGTCTTTCCAGTTGTCTTGCCGCCACTCGCCACTTCAATGTGCTGCCACTTGTTATATGTAGCAAAACTGAACATTCTTGACAGTCCTCTCTATAACCCCCGGTCAACATCAGTTGGGGGCACACTTAACTGATGTTGCTGCGTATCCAGTCCAAGTACTCGTGCACCCGTGTGAAGACGGCCTCCCGAGTGCCGCAGTTTCTCGCGCCGAACGACGTGACCCCGGTCAGGTACCAGTTGACGCCGAATCGGTCTGGGAACGGGGGCACAGAGACGTGAAACGAGGTACCTGACAGTCTGAGACAGACACAGGACGGCTTAAGTCAGGCACCACGGCACATTGGAACCAGAGAAACGTGGATCGGAACCTCCAGTAGCAGCGACGAAGCAGCACTGTTGCATCAAACGCCGACGTGCATTTCATTTGATCACTTTCCACCTGGCTAGCAGATTGATGCTCTAGGAAAGCGAGCCTTTCAGAATTAATATAACACCAACCTCACTTTTACTACCTCCCTCTCTCCCTCTCCCTCTCTCTCTCTCTTTCTCTCTCTCCCTCTCTCTCTCTCTCTCTCTCTCTCTCTCTCTCCCCATCCCTCCCCTGTTTCTCTCAATGCGGCACCCTATCCAGCTACTCTACCCCACACTCAGCCCTCTTTCTACACACCTATTGAAACCTACCTGGAACCATCAGCGGTCCTCCTGAGTCGCCATTGCACGTGTCAGCGCCGCGACTGACTCCCGACACACACAGACGCTTGCCGAAGCTAGTCAGCTGCCTGTTGCTACGGAAGGCGTTCTCGCAGTCGGAGGCCGGCACCACGTCCAGCACCACCTCCTGCAGGATCGGAGTGAAGCTCTCCACGTCCTCTGTGATATAGGGAAGAGTGCACAGGTCACGAGAGAGGGCTTAGAGCGAAGGCGTTATGACAAGAGAAAATTTAGAGAGGTGTGAGATGAAAATTTGGTGGGATAAATATCTAGCAGCGAGTGAAAGCATGAAAAAGTGAGGAATTTCTAACAACATCATAAAAAAGAGGGACACTCTCATGCATCGCCTATTTTTTTTCTTTTTTGGCTTTCAACCCGTCCCTTCTTACTCACTCAGTCCAAACTATATCTTCACTCGCAGCTAGACCTGTCCCAACTCCCAAGCTTCTCTAGCCACTCCCAACTATGATCTATTATCCACTGCAGTCTGTTCGTCCCCAGCCATCGCTCACCGTCACTAGACCGTCCCCAGCCGACTGCGTAGACCTTCTGGCCGTTCGCGTTGTCTGTTCCCTCTTTGAAGCGTGAGAGGTCCAGAGGCAGGCAGATGGGGCGAATGAACTCGGTGAACTGTACTGATCGCACCAGACGAACGAGCGCAATATCGTCTGCGTGTGCGTTTCGGAATAACCCCTGAAACGGGCAGAGGGAGTGACGTCAGACAACGGGCAAAGTCAGTGACGTCAGACAGCGATAATGTCAGTGTCAGTGGGACTTTCATCTTTTTTTTTTATAATTTTAGTCAGAGAAACAGTGTAAATAATTAAACATTAACAACAAAGGAATCCGCAGAATGTCTGAGGCACACACATGACATAGAGGACTCACAGACGGGTGGGTTAGGATTTACGGGGGGGGGGGGGGCATACACCATTCACCCGGTAGCCCGGGCTGGTCAGAGTGTTGGGTGGGGGGGGGGGGGGACTCTCACCCTGTCACCTGTCTCGGTCAGGGTGTTCGAGGCGCGCGGGACACTCACCCCGTAGCCTGGGTGGGTCTTGATGCTAGCGATAGCCACGTCCTGGTGGGGGTCGGCGCACACAGACGGGTTGTCTCGAAGACAGTCGGGCTCACGGTTAAAGTCCAGTTCACCCAGACGCACTATAACCCTGGAAATAGACGAGTGCACAGTCGTCATGGAGAAGGAGGCACGATCACTTGTCATCGAAACAAAACATTAGAAGAAGGTATAAAAAAACATGACCAATCGTCTTTTTGAGCAAGAAGCGTCACCATGCCATAGACATTATGTCATTGTTTGCAAAGTCATTAAAAAAAAAACTTTGGCAGCACAATATGCATCTTGAGAAATGTCAAGGCACGTTGAGATAGTTATTCGTATGTGCGTGTCACCTCACAACAACCATGATGCTTCTAACTAGTCAGCATTATATATGATGACAGCCCGATCCCCACCCCTCCCCTACTCCCTCGCCCCAGCGGACCCGGAGCCGTGAACTCACGGTCTGAAGCTTCGTGTGTTCGTGAGGCAGTGCGCCGCCGTGACCAGGTACCGGTCCGTGATCAGAGTCGCACCGCACGCCCAGCTAAACTCGCCGTTGGAATTATCTGGAAAAGTGTAAACTGGTCAGGTATGGATGTGTAGCATCGACTTCATCCCACATGGGTAGCTCCACCCCAGGAGCAGGCACATGGTCGGGTGTGCTGACCGTTAGCGGGGCTGGGTGGCCTGATGAGCTCAGCCCCGATGGAGCACCAGGATGCCCGCCCAGACCAATACCTCTACCGGATTCCTATCATCCTTTTGGCTCTGCATGGTCTCGTCAGACCAAAAGAGCTCAACCCAACAAGAAACCAACAAACAGAAACAAACCTCCCTTCTCATCATTCGTCCCACATAGACCATCCCAGGCCCTCCCGTCTCCCCACTCACCCCGGTAGCCGATTGAGGCCGCCCACGGCCAGGAACCGATGTCAGCATCCTGGCCGTTAAAGATACGCGTACTAAAGGTGCGTCGCCCGCAGACGTTCTCATCGGGAAGCACCGACTGAGCCAGTGGCTGTCGACCTACTGAGGTCAGCGGTCGGCGTGTCGGTCGCTGGGTGAACGGCTGGGCTGGTCGCTGGGTGAAGGGCTGGGCTGGTCGCTGGGTGAAGGGCTGGGCTGGTCGCTGGGTGAAGGGCTGGGCTGGTCGCTGGGTGAACGGCTGAGCTGGTCGCTGGGTGAAGGGCTGGGCTGGTCGCTGGGTGAAGGGCTGGGCTGGTCGCTGGGTGAACTGTTGGATTGGTCGCTGGGTGAAGGGCTGGGCTGGTCGCTGGGTGAACGGCTGGGCTGGTCGCTGGGTGAAGGGCTGGAAGGGCCTCTGAGTTGTCTGGCTCGGACGATTCACAAAGAACAGCGGCCTCGCCGGCGGCCCTCGGCCGGGGTTGAACCCCTGCGGCCGTTGGGTGGCGGGCCGCGCGGCGTTGAACTGGGCATCTCCCTGGCCGCCAGTCGCGCCGCCGGTCTCACAACAGACCTGCGGGGTGCTGCCGCGGAACGGACAGCGCGCAGTCTCCTGGCGCAGACGGCCGAGGGCGGCCCGCGCCGCCGAGCCGCCGCGTTTGGCCTCCTGCAGCAGGCGGACCAGCGGCTGGCAGGAGCGGATACCGCCACACAGACCCGGCCGGCCGGCGCTGCTGACACAGGAGGAGCCAGCCTGGCGGCGCTCTGTAACACGCACATAGGGAGACGTCAGACAGGGACAACGAAAAGCACATGATAAATGGGGTATTCGAGACAGAACTGCCTGCTCTGGGCTTCTGCAGCCTGGAATCCCACCGCCTACGTCAAAGACCATTACGTAAAGGCGGGCAGACATAAACGTTTGTGATGTCCTTCATTTCAGTCAGTTTGAAATTCAATATAGGGCTTGCTATGACCGGATAAGGCAATAATATGCTTGCTGAATGCCACAAATGCCACAACACACAATCGGCACAAATCACAGCAGTGCTGATCCGTGCGATGACGCAGTATTTAACGCTTAAATCGTGGTCGACTATTCGGTAGCCCAAACAAGTTTAATCCCCACTTGAACCGAGGCTTCTCCTTCCCTCTCTCCCTCCAAGGTGAGCCTACCTTATTTTATGCAGAGTTCGATAACCTACCTCTTCTGTTGTCGTGTGCCGCTCCGACGCTACCAGCCATCACCAGCAGGGCGAGGTAGACACACCACCGAAACAACATGACCCACATCGAGCTGCCCGACTTTTCCTCTTCCTCTTCCTCTCGACACCAGGTCTCTTCCGTCTGTCCACTCAAGATTCCTCCGCCCACCCTCCACCAGCGGCCTCCCGCAAACAACTGAGCCGGTCCTCCCCGTTGCGAGCTCTTCTGACGACTGCGGCGAGCCGTCTCCGGGCCGTGACGTCGAGCAGAGGACCGCGCCGAGCACCCGGCGGCGCTGGGCCGTCCTCGATCAGACGTGCCAGCCGGTGTGAGGGGCCCGGTGTCTCCTCCGCTTATACAGGCGGATTATACAGCGAGCAGCAGCGCATTAGACTGGTGAATCTGTGACAACGGGCACTGAGCAACCGGGGAGTCCCAGCTTGCGGAAGTGGATGGTAAATTACAGTGGGGAGAGCTACCAGACGCACCCTGGACATTGAGTATAGGGAAGGCTCGTGGATTTCCCATGGGTGAGACATTGGTCCCGCCGAAGACAGGTTCACTGACCCTCATCGTCACGCATTGTTGACTGAGGGATACCCAACGTTCCCTGCTCAGACTGCTAAGAACGTCTTCCTGACTCTCCCATGGGTAAGTCACTAGCTGACCCTGCTCAGAGAAAAGAGTTGCCGATGTACTGTCAACATTAATTTTGCCGCATTTCTGACCCTTCCTAGACCTAGTCAAACAGACTTCGTCAATGGGAACCCTCGGGGGAAAGCAGGGTATATAAGTTGCGATTTACCCAAAGATGTGTAGCCATAATGCGACGCATCGTGCGGCCACACTTATTACAAGCACCACTTTTCGCTCACCGACACTCAAATGTGTTCACGCTTACACTTGGACTGTCCCGCGAAGAGCACCCTCGCCAGTCAACAGCGCTTATCGCGCTGCTTTTGCATGGCTGACATCGGTTCATCGAGGGGAGCCCAGATCGCCTTCGCGAACGAATTCAGCTGCGGAACTAGGTCAAGGGTAATAGACGCTGACCAAACAAGAACTACAACCACAACACAAGGACCAGGAAATGTTCTGCGCTGCTCAAGGCCGATTTTGCTCATGGTGATTTCCCGGCACACAAACGTTGATAAAATCAAAACCCCAGGACCAGAAAATACAAAATAAAAACGGCATCCCGTGTATTGGCTCCATAAACACCGTTCTGGCTTGGTTGTATCCAAAAAGGATCCCTTGATGTGAATGACAAATTGGCACGTTTCACTACTCCACGACATCGCTTTTAAAATGAGGTTGCACACTGCACAGTGGGACACGAATGACAAAAGCCCAAAAAAGGGACACGAATGACAAAAGCCCAAAAAAACCCGCTGTAACTGTAAGCATTCTGGAAGCACTATGCTAGTTTCGACGGCGTACAACTAGTTACATGAGGCGTGGATGAGGGCATGAGAACCAATCCCGCAAAGGACCACTCTGTAATCCGGACATCATCTTACAAAGATGTCCCACTAAATGACGATGCGAGCCGCTAACCACAGGAAATCCAAAACACGATGGGGAAACACCGTACGCCTAAACACTGAAACCCTAAGGTGCATATTAATTGAGCAAAAGCTGGCAAAGCTGATTCACTGAGCGTGCATTACCTCACGATGACTCATCACGTCTCCC